TTCTGTACCCTTAAGAGGTGCATGAGAGAAATCAAGTGAGGTGCTATGAAATCATATAAAGCACAATAAAAAACGTTATCTTGAATTATTCACTAATTCATACTCTAAAACCTGACTCAAATCATAAGAGACCATTTTACAACTATCAAACTGACAAAAAAAATTATGACACTATGAAGTGTTGATGAAGATGAGGCACAAAGAATTCTCATATATTGCTGATTAGAGTGCCAACTGTTACAAAACCACTTTGGAAACCGGCAAACAAACTGAAGTTGTAAAACCTCTATGATTGGGCCGGGTGTGGTGGCTCACACCTGTAATCCCAGCACTTAGAGAGACCACGCAGGCAGGTCACAAGGTCAGGAGCTTTGGTCAACATGGTGAAATCCTGTCTCTACTATATATACAAAAATTAGCCAGGCATGGTGGCACACGTCTATAATCTCAGCTACTCGGGAGGCTGAGACAGGAGAATCACTTGAACCCGGTTGGAAGAGGTTGTAGTGAGCTGAAGTCACACCACTGCACTCCAGCCTGGGTGACAGCAAGACTCTAAAATTAAAAACAAAAAACACTTCCAGGATCCATTAATCCTAATCACTCACAACCACAAGAAATACTGATAACATCCTACGAGAGGGATGAACCTTGTAACACTGTGCTACATGAAAGAAGCCAGACACAAAAGATTTCTATTCTATTCTATTCTATTCTATTCTATTCTATTCTATTCTATTCTTTCTATTCTATTCTATTTATATGAAACAACTAGAATAGGCAAATCCAGAGAGAGAGAAAATAGGTTAGTAGTTGTCTAGAGCTGGAGAGGAATGAAGAATGACTGCTAATGGTTACAGTTTGTTTTGGGATAATAAAAACTTTCTACAATTAGTAGCAATGGTTGCACAACTCTGAACATACTAAAACCACTAAATTGTACACTTTAAGTGTATTTTGTTGTATAAATTACAGCTCAATGAAGCTGTTCCCAAAAAAGTTAAGACCAATGATTGACAAGGGAATGGGAAATCCTTCACCGCCAAGGTAACACCAAGCAAATTAGTTTCTTGCTCTAAGGGGAAAGATTGTTTAATATATAGAACTACCTTAATAACCAATTTTAGCATTACAATGTCTTTTGTGATACGATGCAAAATGAGGAACTGCTATGCTATATTTTAGTCAACAATGTTTAATGGTGAATCCATCAATCTGTCAGCTATGAACTTTAAAGTACAGGAATTAAAAAAGGAAGAAGCTAAATAATACCACAAGGATGCAATCATACAAAACCACTCTAGGGTAAGTGACACAGTCTCAAAATCAGTGTCACTGAAAAATAAAGACTATACTATATTAAAAAGATATAAAGAAATTAAACAAACATATGCAACAAGGTCCTAAATCAGATAATAGCTTGGATAGCTAGCTATAATAAACATTTTTTTTGGATCAGCCAAGGAAATATGAATGGCACCTGGGTATTAGAGGAAATGAACATTTACTCACATGGAAAGTGGGTATCACCAACTAAAAAAAGCAAGTTGATCTCATTTAGTAAAATAAAAATAGAAACCTAAATACATGTGCTTAGACAACAATCTGGAAAAAAAGTGCACCAAGTTGTTAACAGTAGTAACTCCTGTGTGATGGGAATGCCAAGGCTTTATTTTTGCATATCTATGTAGTCTAATATTCTATATTATACATACACTGCTTCTGTAATAATAGAAAGATTATTCAAAGAAAGAATCACATGGGGAGCTTTAATAAACCACTGATGTCCAGGCCTTACCCCAGAAAAATTAAAAAAGGTTGAGAACTATCGCTTTTGAGAATTGGGGTAGATAAACGGAAAAACTGTCTGATAGGTCTTTTAAAAAGGAATTTATCAGAAGAACTCTGAAAATTCAGAGAACAAATGAGAGTTTCCCTTAACTTGGCAAACACCAAAAACCAAAGGAAGCTCACCAGTCAAAATCCCTGCCAAGGTCATGCCACAGGAAGAGCCTGCTTAGGAAACTGCTCCAGCTAGCAATGCCACCACCAACAGCCACTGGCATGAATTCCAAACAGTCCTTCATCTTTACATTTCTCACTTCTGATGCAAGTCCCCACTCAAAGTGAAGGACATCTGACTAGCACAGGTTGGGTAACATAACCCAGCTCTAGCTGACAGGGGTCCAGCACACAAAGTTTATCTATATTGTATGTGTATGTGTGCACCCAACCTTCTTTCCCAGCATCCTCTCCCACTAAGATTCACAAGAAAGCCGTACTGGAAGGGGGTTAAAATGGTAAACAGACAAAAGAAACAACAAAGGATCATTTTAAAGCCCAATTGGTAGAATGTTCAACACAGGAATTCTGCCAGTCCTGCCATTAGAAATAAACTTGAATTACTTTGCCTTATTCTGCTTCACTGTTCCAAAAGAATTTCCTAAAAACTAATTTTAGGCACAGTGGCTCACACCCGCAATCCCATCATTCTGGGAGGCAAAGGTGGGAGATATTGCTTGAGCCCAGGAGTTCAAGACCAGCCTGGACAACATAGTAAGACTCTAGCTATACAAAAAATAATAATAATAATAATTGGCCCAGCATGGTGGCACACACTTGTATTCCCAGCAGGGCTGGGGGCAGGGGGGAGTGGGTGTGTGGGGATCCAGGGCAGAGCTGAGGTGGAAGGAGGTCAAGGCTGAAGTGAGGTATGATCATGCCACTGCACTCTGGTCTGAGCAACAGAACAAGACTCTGTCTCTACTTTTATCAGTTTCAGCAGCACCAAAAGGCTCTCTAATTCCCTATGCCCATAAGTAAACAGACTATTTGTAACATTTCAAAAACTATACAGTTTTTTCTTTAATTATACCTAGCTTATTTGGAGACTCTTGAATTGTTGTTAATTATATGAGTGAATGTATATAAAGTGTTAAGAATAATGCCCAGATGTTGTTCCCCGAAAAAACAAAAAAGAATAGTGCCTAGCCTATAATGAGTATAGCATTAAGTGCGAATACTAAAATAACCTAATGGTTGGAGGGCAGATAATAGGAAAAAAAATTCAGTTGCGAGAAATTTTCAGATTGAATATGCTGAGACACCTATTCATTAGTAACCAAAACCGGGAAATAACAACACTAAAAAGCTATCATACTTAGCTCAATTTTATAACAGAATAAATATACAAGTAGGGGGGAAAAAGGGCAGGAAACACACTACCTGGAAAAGTTAATACTGAATTGGGCACTAAAGCAAACCAAACACTCTACATAACATCTCAAACGAGAGTAACCCATAAAGTTACTTACTCTATGTTGCTCAACAGGGAAATTGCAAGAAAATGATACAGATGAGAACCTCTGGACAAACTAGAAAATAAAAATCCGCAAATACACAGAATCACCTAACAAATTCAGTCTTATCACTTCTATCTCCAAATCAAATCTCAATCTAAGCCTCTATATCCAACTACCAATTTACAAGGAATCAAGAAAATCTAGAATGTGGGAAACTGCAGGATAAATGACCTGGTTTCTTAAACAAAGTACAAGGGGAAAAAAAAGAGAAATATGCAAATTAAGGTTTTTTAAATGGCAGCCAATTGCAGTTTGTGGGACCTAGATACTGATTCAAATAAACTACAAAAGTCAACAGAAAAGTAAAATCTAAGAAAGAAAAACACCACTCCGCGTGCAACTCGTCTGTGCAGATTTCACTAAATTTCATTAGACTGGTGTGTAAAATGATGTTTATTAAAGACAACTTCTCTAATAATAATGAAGTTCTTATGATCAGACATTATTTTAATAACTCTACAAATATTATTTATTACAACAACCCTAGGAGAAGGTACTACTATTATCCCCATTTAACAGATGAAGAAATAGGCAAATAATCTCATTAAACTAATTCACTCAAAGTCATAAAGCTATAAGGAGCAAAGCTGAGATTCGAACCCAAATGGTCTGGCTACAAAGCCAACCACTGATTACCATACTATGCCATTTCTCTGCATGCTATGGTGGAAACTATGCTTTGGAATCACAGAAAGCTGCCCAAACCTCCATCTCTGACTATGTTACCCAAATTACTTAACTTCTTGGAAACTGTATACTCACTTGTAGAAGGGTTAATATCTATTTCTTTAAATTGTAAGATATCATGAGATTATATAATTGACTCTATTATAGCATCTAAGTTTATGAAGCCCACAATAAATGGTTCCTATTGCCCTTCCCGCCATACGTGGTAAGACGAATTAAAAAGTAGAATTTACAAACAACACAAAAACTGGAATAGTTCTACTTTTAAATTAACTAAGCAGCTCCAAAATCAACTTTTCTACGCATTTATAAACTTTAAGGATAGCAATATTCAGACAATAACTTTTTTATATGCCAAACTTTTAAACTTAGGTAGAAACAGGGTTTGCAAGTTCAATTTAAAGTATAGAGCTAAACTTAAGTGAGATTTTTCTGGAGGAAAAAAATTACTCCACACAAACAGACCTACTGCTCAGCAAAGGGTACCAAAATTTTGTTCCTCTGGTGATTCTCTAGCCTGAAGTCTGGTTAACAAAAGGCAAAGTGGTTTTATCTTAGAAAAGGAAGGTGGACTTAATGAGTTTGTTAAAATCAACTCCTTTAAGAATGATTTTTTGTTATCTTCCAAGTATAAACCATAACGTTTATACTTGATAAACCATAAAGTTCTTTAGGGGCAGGAATGTTTTATGGTCATCTAGATACTCCCAGTGCCTAGTACACTGAAACTGGCACAGTAAGCCTTCAGTGTTTTTCTTTTTCCCTATTAACCTCAATAGAGACAGTGTTTCTTAAAAAAACGATTGTGCTATTTTATCTGAAAAATGATCAGCTTATAAAGTGACCAATTAAAGACTAATTATTTGTCTTAGTAAAGAAAAATAATAGGCTCTTTTAAATGTTTGCCTAGCATGTTTAAAGTCACCTATAAAAATTCAATTTACGAGAAAGGCGCGGGACTGGGCTGAGTGTTGGCTACGCGGGGCTACCGGATCCGTCGGAAATGGCAGAGGTGGAGGAGACACTGAAGCGACTTCAGAGCCAGAAGGGAGTGCAGGGAATCATCGTGGTGAACACAGAAGGCATTCCCATCAAGAGCACCATGGACAACCCCACCACCACCCAGTATGCCAGCCTCATGCACAGCTTCATCCTGAAGGTACCGAGCACCATGCATGAAATCGACCCCCAGAACGATCTCACCTTCCTTAGAATTCGCTCCAGGAAAAATGAGATTATGGTTGCACCACATAAAGACTATTTCCTGATTGTGATTCAGAATCCAACCGAATAGGCCACTCTCCTGACTCCCTGTGTCATTCCTTAATTTAATGCCCCCCAAGAATGTTAATGTCGATCATGTTAGCAGACTGGCATGTGACAGTCACCTTGGAGCCCACTCAGACCAATCCAGTGACCATGTGTGGGCTGGTGGCTCTTCCTCCCCAACCAAAGGAACCCCTGTGCTGTGCGGGCCTTCCCCAGAGCTCCGGGAGGGCCCTCTCGCCTCACTTCCAGGTTTTGGAGCAAGAACTTGCGAAAAGCCTGTACCCAGCTTCCTTCTGACCTTCAGTTCATTTTGTTGCCCTTGGAGAAGGCTGTTTTTCTTTAAAAATAACCAAAATGCTTAAAAAAAAAAAAAAAAATTCAATTTACGGCTGGGCCCAGTGGCTCACGCCTGTAATCCCAGCACTTTGGGAGGCCAAGGCGGGCAGATCAGGAGGTCAAGATATCGAGACCATCCTGGCTAACATGGTGAAACGCCATCTCTACTAAAAAAAAATACGAAAATCAGCTGGGCATGGTAGCACGAGCCTGTAGCCTCAGCTACTCGGGAGGCTGAGGCAGGAGAGTTGCTTGAACCCAGGAGGAGGAGGTTGCAGTGAGCCAAGATTGCGCCACTGCACTCCAGCCTGGTGACAGAGCAAGACTCCGTCTAAAAAAAAAAGAAAATTCAATTTACACAACATTAGAAATATATCTCAGCTGCAAATATTGAAAAAACAAAAAAGAAATATATCTACCTCACTTAAGATATACCTGTGGACAAAGTTCAGTTCCTCTTACTGAACTATTTTTCAAGTTTGATTGCAGGCTGTTTGGGGCAGATTTCAGTGGGAAATAGGAAACACTGAGTCTAATTTAGAAGTAACTTGGGCAATTAATTAGGTCTCTACAGCAGAACCACATATTCAATTCCAGACAACAGCAACTACAGCCACTTAAGAGGTAGTATGTCATTTCTCCACCACCTAGATTTTTCCCCTCATCTATCTGAAAAACAGTAAATACACCAAAATTTGCCTTTTCCATTAAATACTTTTTTTGGTTGTAATCCTTTAAAATTTTGTGTGCCTCTCATCTTTTAGACCAGTCTTACTTTCATGTTTAAAGGCAGTGACCATAACAGTTAAACCCAACGACTTAGATTGCCTAAATTTAAATACGGGCTGTTTACCTACTGGCTCGATGAATCTCTGGACTACTTTTCCTCAACTACAAAATGGGCTATAAAACAGTACCTACTCAGGCCTGGTGCCATGGCTCAGGCCTGTTAATCCCAACACTTTGGGACGTCAAAGTCAGCAGATCATTTGAGAACCAAAGTTCGAGACCAGCTTAGGCAATATGGCAAAACCTCCTCTCTAACAAAATACAAACAAAAAAAATTAGCCCAGTGCAGTTGTATGCACCTGTAGTCCCAGCTACTAGGGAGGCTGAGGTGACCAAAACCTTGATAGCTTGAACTTGAGAGGTGCAGGCTGCAGTGAGCCAAGATCTTGCCACTGCACTCCAATCTGATCAGTGTGACCGACTGAGACGCCGTATCAAAACAAAACAAAACCAACCAACCAGTATACTTAAGTAAATCACAGGCCGGTGGCTCATTCCTGTAATCCCAGCACTTTGGGAGACCAAAGCAGGCGGATCACCTGAAGTCAGGAGTTAGAGACCACCCTGGCCAATGTAGTGAAAACTCGTCTCTATTAAAAATACAAAAATTAGCAGGGTGTGGTGGCATGCTCCTGTAATCCCAGCTACTGGAGAGGCTGAAACAGGAGAATCGCTTGAACCCAGGAGGTGGAGGTTGCAGTGAGCCTAGATCACGCCACTGCACTCCAGCCTGGGAGATAAGAGAAACTCCTACCCTCCGTAACCCCCTTCAAAAAAAGTTAAATGACAAATGTAAAGCACCTCAAACAACAGTCAGTCCCTGGCACATCAGTTATAAAATAGAGATATGCAATTTTCTTAAGTATGATTCACGATTCTGTTTTATCTTTAACTCAGCATTAAAAATGAATTATAAGCAGAACTGTGAACCAGATTTCTTATCATTCTAAACATAAATGATTGAAAGTGTCCTCCTCAGTTAAGATTTTAAGCAGCCACTGATGAGCAATCTAGAATTGAATTTGCTCAAAATAAGGAGGCCTCTCAAGAGCTCCCCCCTACACCACAAATTAAGAGCTCTGAATAGACACCATCCAGAATCAATTGAAAGAATGTTTATATTAACAAATGTACAAACCGTTGAGTACCCTAAAAAAAAATCTCTCACTCCAATTTAATAGTTCACAGTGACAAAACACGAAACAACTAACTTGTAATTTCTATTAAAAACTTTAAATGTTTTTCCTGTAAAACCACCAAAATAATTTAACAAAAAAAATTATAGGGGAATTAACAAAAATAAACTTTTGTATTTGAAAAAAAAACGTCAAAAGGCACATTGAAAATGGACTCCCTAGGAAAGATGACAGTTTATTTTACTATTAATTTCAAAGCTCTCGTTCACAATTAACATTTCACTCTTTTATCTCTTAAAAACAGTCTACAGGCTGAAACTCCAGCACCTTTCCAAATACTGAAATTTACTGGTTTTGGTTTCCAATATATGACTTTTTGTTTACACTTTTGGATCTACTGGTTAAAAAAAAAAAAAGCAAACAAAAAGCAGCCTTTTGTTTAAAAGGGCACAACAATCAGGCTCTCCACAACTAAAGTATGCTTTCACTTGTTAAAATGTCTTAACACTATTCTAGTAAATATCTCAAACTTAATAACACCCTAATTTCTTTTCAAATATTGGATATAAAAGACCTTAGAAAAGATCAGCAGTCTACCAAATTACAAATACAAGTTTACTGAGGAGTGACTACCAATCACTTTACTTTTGGATAGGGTTTACACAAGAACATGACTTGTTACTAAACTAAAACACGAACCACTATTATTAACTCTGTATTTTCCTGGTAAGCAATGAATATCAACATTAAAAGTATTTCAACAAATATGACAAGCCACCCTCAGAGCGCAAAGTTGGCAAATAAAATTGACACCACAGCACAATCTGAAAACTATAAGCAACTATTAAACACACACACACACCACCGCACCCATTCTTATGTAAACTTTTGGAGTAAGTCAACTTTGTGAGTCTCACCTTTGTTTTCACCTAGCAAGAGAGTTAAAGATGAGACAACAATTGTAAAAAGCCAGAAGAACAAAAGATTCAGTTAATGTCCCCATAGGGGAAACGACTAAAATTTTTAAACGTTACTGTATTTAAGTAATCGAAGGGCAGGGCAGTTCCCCAAGCTACAGCCATTTTAGATTCAGACTTTCTTTTGAATTTCTCGGGTTGAGGAGAAGTAGATTTAAGACGAGAAAAAAAATAACACTCTTAAAACATTTCAGGATTTCCCCCGCAACCCCCGCAAGGGAAGGGGGTTGGAAAATATTGGATAGACTCAATCTAAACGAAAACACCTCGCTACCACGGAGAACCGGAATGCTGGGGGTTAACTTTTTTCCCCTAAAATATCCAACATTTGACTTACACTTTTTCCTCCTTAGGTTTTTCTTTGAAGGAAAACAAAAGCTCTTAGCTCTCATTTCAAGAGGGAAAGAAAAAAACCCGTAAACCAAGTCCCTCAACCGGCACCAAGCCGGATCGTCTGGAGAGGAGCCAAAAAGCCGCAGGTGAGCGTTCCGACCCGACGACCAAAGTTAAAGTAGCAGCGCTTACGCAGAGCCCCGGCAACGCTCGCGTGCAAAGCTCTAAGCACTGCGGTGGCGGGAGTGCCCCGTTCGAACCAGTTGACCCGTGGGCTCCGCTCGCCCCTCTCGGGTAGGACCTACAACCAACCACCTGTGTGAGAGCTTCTTTAACCTAGTTTTAACAGCCGGTTGGTTAGGCACCGGGCGGAGCCCCGCGCCGGAACGACTCCAAGATCTCCTACTGCCCCGTTGTCCCCAACTCCCACTCACCGTGCAGCGGTGGGGCTACGACCAGGGACGAGACGCGGCGTCTAAGGACGCGTCCCCAGCTTGTCGACCCGGCAGAGGCGGCTAGCCCACAACCATAACAAAGCTCTTCCCAAAATGGCTGCCCAGCCCACAAGACCCAGGAGGGGCAGAGCGGGTGGAGGAGGAGGAGGAGCGACGAGCAGCATGGCCCTCCCGTCCCCCGTCCGACCCCGCCTTACACACGCCCACCTGAAGGAGCGCATGCGCGCGGGACCTGCCCCGCCAACACTGCCGGAGAGACGCTCGCGCCCCGAGCTGCCAACGTTCGGCTTCCAGAACGGCGGTTATGCCCTGCCCTGCCCCTGGCTCCCTTCCTCGCCGCTGGAGGCGGCGCGTGGTCGCCTCCGCCTCCTACAGAGTTGAATCCTCTGCCTTTCCTCGTGCCGCCTGAAGCAAGGACAAGCCTAATTTAGTACGCCCCTTCTAACCCCCCTGCCCACTTTCAGGGCCTGAGCGCGTATGAATGAGTGGGTGGGTATGTATGTGTGTATTCCTTCTTTCTTCACCTTCCCACAGCCCTCCCGTGGGCCGGTACGCGTCCCGAAACTACCTCTACAAGGACTTGCAAACCGGTTTCGGAGGAACGTGTGTTTTTCAGCCCTTTCCCACCTTCCGCTCCTTCCTTCACGTGTGCGTGTCGTTGAGACTCCAGTCCCCAGCAGCCCACACGGCCTTGCTCCGGAGGCTGCGCGGCTGGGTGAGCCGCGCAACCCACTGGGAGTAGTAGTTCCCTGGGAGCGCAAGCGTCATGCCCCGCCCCAGCGCAGGGCGGGCTTTTGGCTAGAGTCTGCGCCAGTGACAGTGCCGTTTCTTCTACCTTAAGTCTCATTGGGTATCGCACTACTGGAAGGGGCGGCGGTGCCATGACAGAGAAGGCAATAAAAACTGAAGGCCTACCTCTACTAAAAGCGCTATTAGCGAACACTTTGCTGTGGCTCCTTCCGGCACGGAACACTAAACCATGTGATGGGTGGCAACCAGGAAGCTACACTACGTAGAATCCAGAGGAATGGAGGGGCTGGCCGGCGTGGGCCCCTGAGATACATGTCTTCAGCTTTATCCATATACACGGAAGGACACTCAGATTGCCTAGTGCCATTTCCTGTGAAACAAATCCAGATAAGAGAAGGGACTTGCCCAAGGTCACATAGCGGAGAAATAAAGCCGCGGGCAGCAGGAGAAATGATCTGACTTTCCGCACCACCCCCAAGCCCAGGGCTCTTATCACCACACCTTTCATGGAAGTAAAAATCCTGCTCTTGTGCTATTTAATCCTTAATGAAGTTTCTATCTCCTAGCAAAGAAAATAAATGTAATAATTGGGCTTTTTTCTTCCTTTAACTAATAGTAAAGGGCCGTAATGCGGAGTGACATGGGCCCCATAGGTCTTATAACCCTGTTTTGCAAAGTAAAAAATAAATTCCACAGATGACAAGCAATTTGGCCAGGTCACTCTGGGCCTAAAATCCCGTCTCTTACCTTCCTTCACCACCATCATTCTGAGATTGTTTCAGTACTTGCACTCTACCTTCTCGAACTCTGTGGGCAGATTCTGCTGCCTGGGAGCCATGAAACAGAAAGTCAAGAACCGTTCAGGTACCTTGTTCAACATCTGGCTTCAACTAGAAATTGAGAATGGCCCCCAAACAGAAAGCCGGGCGTAGGAACCAGTTAGCGCAGGGTAAGGCCCTACCCGGACTTATTTTCTTTTGAGTCCTCAGGAAGCAGGGGGCTTTCTCTGATTCCACTTGCCGGAAGTGTCTTTCCAGGGAGACATGGGCTGTTTTCTTGCTGCTGTGTTCCATCTCTCTGTGCAACACTGGTAAATCTCAAAGCCGCCACAGATACAGGGTGGGATGGGAGGCACCAAGGGTTGGTAGTAAATTGGAGACGCGGGTACTGTAGGGCAAGGTTTCCCGAAGACACTGGCGTCTAAACTCCTCCCCCCTTTCTCAGAGGTCTTTTTGAAGCTGGCAGTTGCAGTCTTCCTATTAGGGCAATGGGCATATTGCTCTTTCATCCAAATTAGGAGGATTAACCTTTGAGTCTCAGTCCTTAATCCCCTCATCACCTGCCGTCGCTGGACTTTAGGTTATCACGTTTTTATACCCATTAATTGGAAAGCATGTGCTACAGAGGATAGGGCGTTTCCAAAGGTGGGGGAATGGTTGAGATTTTAAATGAAGTGGTCTGGAAAGTCTTAACGAAGAAACTGATTTTGACAAAAGTGATGGGTACACTCTGCGGGCATTTTGGTCTGGGGCTCAGGTGGGTGGGTGTGGATGTGATCTAACTTACCTGTTCCTTTAGAATGAAGACATTCACTGGTATACAGGGTTTCTTGACCCAACCCTAAGATATGTGGATCTGTGATCAATAAATTAGTTCAATTTTTTTTTTTTTTGAGATGGAGTCTCGCACTGTCGCCTGGGCTGGAGTGCAGTGGCGTGATCTTGGCTCATTGCAACCTCCGCCTCTCAAGTTCAAGAGATTCTCCTTTGTCAGCCTCCCAAGTAGCTGGGATTACAGGCACCCGCCACCACGCCCTGCTAATATTTTGTATCTTTTTTTTTTGTTGTTTTGTTTTTTTGATTTTTTGTTTTTTACTTCCTCTAACATGAATCATAGGAAACAAATTTTTTGTATCTTTAGTAGAGACGGGTTTCACTATGTTGGCCAGCTGGTCTCGAACTCCTGACCTCGTGATCCGCCTGCCTCAGCTGCCCAAAGTGTTGGGATTACAGGGGTGAGCCACCGCGCCGGCCCAATCGATTTTTTTATTTTTTTTAATTAATTTATTTATTTTTGAGGCGGTTTCGCTGTTGTTACCCAGACTGGAGTGCAATGGCACGATCTTGGCTCACCGCAACCTCTGCCTTCTGGGTTCAAGCAATTCTCCTGCCTCAGCCTCCCGAGTAGCTGGGACTACAGGCACGCACCACCATGCCCAGCTAATTATTGTATTTTTAGTAGAGATGGGGTTTCACCTCGTTGACCAGGATGGTCTTGATCTCTTTACCTCGTGATCCACCCGCCTCGGCCTCCCAAAGTGCTGGGATTATAGGCGTGAGCCACCGTGCCCAGCTGATTTTTTTAAATTAAACAGCAACTGTAGATTTTTTTCAGACATCTCATTCTCCTGGCAAAGAATGGAATTGTCAGATCTAGATTCATATTCTCATTCAACTGTTTTTACTGGTTACTTACTAATCAGTGTCTCCTCTGTAAGGTGCTTACTTTGTGTCAGGAGCAGTTCTCAGCTATTTACATGTATTAACTTATTAAATGTTACATCAGACTAAGTGCGGTGGCGCACACCTGTAATCCCAGCACTTTAGGAGGTCAGACAGGCAGATCGCTTGAGCTCAGGAGTTCGAGACCAGCCTGGGCAATATGGCAAAACCCCTTCTATACAAAAAATACAAAAATTAGCTGGGCATGGTGATATGCCCTGTAGTCCCAGCTACTTAGGAAGCTGAGGTGGTAAGATCCCTCCAGCCCAGGAAGTTGAGGTTGCAGAGAGCGGAGATCATGCCACTCACTCCATACTGGGCAACAGTGAAACGCTGTCTCCAAAAAAAAAAAAAAAGTTACATCAACCCTGTGAAGTAGTTAGTACCTTTATTTCAAAGGTGAATGAACTGCACCATAACAAGATTAAATAATTTGTTCAAAGACACTCAGCTAATAAGTAGTGGAGCTAGAATTCCAACCAAGTTTGATTCCAAAGTCTGTATTCCAACAGGCTATTCTCTTTGCCGTACCAAGTTAATAAAATGCCTGCTGGGCATGGTGGCTTATGCCTGCAATCCCAACACTTTGGGAGGCCAAGGCAGGTGGATCACCTGAGGTCAGGATTTCAAGACTAGCCTGGCCAGCATAGTGAAACTCCATCTCTACTAAAAATACAAAAATCAGCTTGGGAGGCTGAAGCATGGGAATCCCTTGAACCTGGGAGGCAGAGGATGCAGTGAGCCAAGATTGTGCCATTGCACTCCAGCCTGGGTGACAGAGCAAGACTGTCTTAAAAAAAAAAAAACCCAAAAAACTAAGTTATATTGGTTGGTTCTATCATTATTTTGAATTGTGAACTCTTAAGCCCCAAAGTAAATAACTAAGGAGAAAAAAAGGAAACAGAGAAGCTATGACTTTCCAGTCGTTGTTGTTTTTTTTTAAATCTCACAAAAATGCCATTTAGAAGACCTTTCATTTTAAAGATGAGAAAACTGGTACTCAGGCAGTTTACCCAGTGTCACACAGCTAGGAAGTGGTGGAGGTATCTGTAAAATCCCTGTGTACATTACTCTTTCTGTTACATAAGACAGCCAAAGCTAAAAGAACAGTTCAGGTATTAAAAGAATCTATTTCCATACTGTGTTACCGATAGTTTGAAAACATTAATGATTCTTTTCAAAGGAAACCGTTATATTTATGAATTTCTACTGTTTAAAATTTAATGTATAAAATGAGGAAAATTAAGTGACATCTTGTTTTATACACAGAAACATGCCTCTGAGTCAGGGCCTCCACTGAGCTGTAACAACACGTTAATCAGAACTGCCCGGCATCTTCTTGAACAAGACTTTCAACAGGGGCCAGTATGCTTCGCTTCATTCAGAAGTTTTCTCAAACATCTTCAACGGTTGGTTTATTCAGCGAATATTTGAGCACTATTTGCCAAATTGCTTGGGCTAGGGAAGTTGCAGTGAAAAAGACAAAAATCCTTATCATTGTTTATTTAGGTGATGGAGGGAAGAGTTCGGTCAAATACAAGTAAATAAAATATTTAATATATCAGGCTGGGTGTGGTGGCTCACTCCTGTAGTCCCAGCACTTTGGCAAGCCAAGGTGGATGGATCACTTGAGCCCAAGGAGTTCAAGTCCAGCCTGGGCACATGGAAAAACCCCATCTATACAAAAAATTAGCTGGGCATGGAGTCACACGCCTATAGTCCCAGCTACCCTGGAGGCTGAGGTAGGAGGATCGTTTGAGCCCAGGAGGTTGAGGCTGCAGTAAGCTGAGATCATGCCACTCCATCCTGGGCAACACAGCAAGACCCTGTTTCAAAAAAAAAAAAATTTGTCAGGTGCTGTGACTTAAAGCTCTAATCCCAAATCCCAGCACTTTGGGAGGCTGAGGCCGGTAGATCACTTGAGGTCAGGAGTTCAATACCTGCCTGGCCAACATGGTGAAACCCTATCTCTACTGAAAAATACAGATATTAGCTGGGCATGGTAGTGGGTGCCTGTAATCCCAGCTACTTGGGAGGCTGAGGCAAAAGAATTACTTGAACCCAGGAGGCAGAGGTTGCAATGAGCTGAGATGGTGGCACTATACTCTAGCCTGGGTGACAGAGGAAGACTCCATCTCAAAAAAAAAAAAAAAAAATTAACACCAGGTACAGTCACTCATGCCTGTAGTCCCAACACTTTGGGAGGCCAAGGCAGGCAGATCACTTGAGGTCAGGAGTTTGAGACCAGCCTGGCCAATGTGGTGAAACCCTGTCTCTACTAAAAATACAAAAATTAGCTGGGCATGGTGGCGGATGCCTGTAATCCCAGCTACTCGGGAGGCTGAGGCACGAGATCACTTAAACCTGGGAGGCAGAGGTTACAGTGAGCAGAGATCCACGTCATTGCACTCCAGGCTGTGTGATAGAGTGAGACTCAGTCTCCAAAAAACCATAATAATAATAATAGTATATCACTTACCTGCTGTGGAGAACTATAAAGCAGGGAAGGGGAATAGGAAGCGTCAGGATGAAGGATTGCACTTATAAATGGCAGGGGATTAGAAATACGGGAATGAGGCCAGGCGCGGTGGCTCAAGCCTGTAATCCCAGCACTTTGGGAGGCCGAGGCGGGTGGATCACGAGGTCAAGAGATCGAGACCATCCTGGTCAAAATGGTGAAACCCTGTCTCTACTAAAAATACAAAAAATTAGCTGGGCATGGTGGCGCGTGCCTGTAATCCCAGCTACTCAGGAGACTGGGGCAGGAGAATTGCCTGAACCCAGGAGGCGGAGGTTGCGGTGAGCCGAGATCACACTATTGCACTCCAGCCTGGGTAATAAGAGCGAAACTCCGTCTCAAAAAAAAAAAAAGAAAAGAAAAAGAAATAGGGGAATGGGCCATACAGGTAACTGAAGGAAAAGCAGTAAATATGGAAATGGGAAATGGTTCCAAGATGGAACCATTCCTAGTATGTTTGAGTAATCACCAAGAATCTTAAATAGCTTCAATTTTTTCTTTAATCCAATACTTTTTAGTTGAAGTCTGGCATCTGCTCACTAAAGCACAGAATCAGCAGAAAAGGTGATTACTTTGCACATGTACAGTGAAATGCACTGGGGATTTTAAGGCATGGAAAAAAATATGGTCCTGGCTCTCAAGTCTACTGAGACAAAGACAAGTAAACACATAATTTTAATTTACTGTGAGAAGAATTATGATGGAAGTGTGCATAGGGTACTTACTATAGAAGCATTAAATCAAACTGTAGAAGGGTTAAGGAAAGCTTTAAGTTGAATGTCGATTGTTGAGGTAAGTTTCCTAGATAGAAAAGGAGTAAGAGCTAGAATTCTAGGCAGAGCATATAGGTGTAGAAGTATGAAAAGTATGTGGTGTTTATAAAGCTAAGTTGGAAGGCAGATTTATTTTCTCCATATAAAAACAGTATTCCCACAGTAATTAGTGCTGCTGCTTTTGCTAGTAATAAATAGAAGAGGCTGTTTAGAAGGCCAGATTCTGCGCCAGGCGCTGTGGCTCACGCCTATAATCTTAGCTCTTAGGGAGGCGGAGGCAGGAAGATAGCTTGAGCCCAGGAGTTCAAGACCTGCCTGGGTGATATAGCAAGACCCCATTCTCCACAAAAAGGAAAAGAAAAACAAAAGGACAGAAGGTCAGATTCTGAAGATCTAATCTTTACCTGTTCCTCTTTTAGATATTTCTCTCATGGAATAAAATTAAGCGGTAGGTTTAAATATATCATGGTTTGTGTTCAGTGATTTCTTTTGTACATTGTATAGCCATTTCATACTCTTACCAGCAATAACATCACTTTAGAGTCAGTTCATCCTTTCTGTACAGTTTGATGTGCTAATGGAAAGCAGATCTTTTTTGTCTGCTCCTTCCAAATAATCTTTCATATTGGGATTGACTAAAATCTGATACATATATATATATATTTTTTTTTTTTCTTTTTTTTCAGGTATGTCTTAGTAGCGTGAAAACAGAATATATATTTTTTTAATTTTGTCTTCTGGCTCTGTTTTCTTTGCAGATGCTGAAGTATTCTTTCCCAGTGGGATTAAGAGCCAGCAGAACAGATACACTTTCTCTCAAGATGTCTCTCCAGCAGAACTTATCCCCGTTTCCAAAGCCTTGGCTTTCTTCTTCATTTCCAGTGTATATGAGCAAGACACAGTGCTATCATACATCCCCCTGCAGCTTTAAAAAGAAGCAGAAAGCAGCACTTCCAGCCAGGCCACCAAGCACCATCTCTTATCTGCCTGAGAGCCCAAAGCCAGCATTATATATAACTGTGGCAGGACTAATCCCCTTCGTTGCTCCACCACTGGTCATGCTGATGACAAAAACTTATATTCCCATATTAGCTTTTACTCAGATCGCTTATGGAGTCAGTTTCCTATCTTTCTTGGGTGGAATCAGATGGGGTTTTGCTCTACCAGAAGGTAGTCCAGCCAAACCAGATGTCCTTAATTTGGCTAACAGTACAACTCCTCTTTTGTTTTCATGGATTGCCTTCCTTTTTTCTGAAAAACTCGGTGAAGCAGAAGCCATAGTCACAATAATAATGGGTCTGGGGATAGCATTACACCTTGAAGTTTTTCTCTTACCACATTATCCCAACTGGTTCAAAGCCCTGAGGTTAGTAGTCACTTTAGTGGCCACTTTTTCACTGATAATCACTTTAATAGTTAAAGATGTTTTTTCTGAAAAGGGACATAAAAAACCTGGTCAAAGATAAAAATACACTGTACATAACATTAGTATGCTGGTTAAACCTTTTTCTACTTCTGTTTGGCTCTTTTTTTCCCACACCAATGGTAATTTACTCTTCACAGATTGTTCTTCATTTCTAGAAGTTGTTATTTCATAGTAATTACTTGAGCAAGAGCTTGGAAATCCCTGTCAAATGCTTTCATCTCATAGTAAACTAGTTTTCAGTCATTTTATGAATAATATAGTTATCCACTTAAACATTTGAATGTTTTAGCTGTCTTGAAAATTAAAAGATTAAAAATTCCCTTTGTTAGAGTCTTACGATCATTGAGAAGAATGCACATATTCTCCCACTTCAAGCAGAAAACCTCATATCTGAGTGTCTGGAAATAAAAAGTAGTTCCATTGAGGAGATTTCACAGGAGTTACCCCTGGGAAATCCATGTCCAAACTTATTTCACATGGTATAACCAAATTATATGAGCTAAAAGGATCTGTGACTCTAGAGTCACAGATAGGGAGCAGTATCATGAGGGAAAGCCACGTTCAAAGGTAAGTTGGACATGTTTTCCAGTTTTTATTAGGGTATTTGGCATGGTATAGATATAATTTATCCCTTATCACCAAACACATAATATAGCTGGTCAAATTGATTATTTTCAATAGAAACTATTTAAAAAGCCCTAGTATATATAAATTTAAAAAGAAAAGGCAAGCTGGAGCCATCTTGATATTCTAGTGAGCAGGCCTATCTAGTTCTACATCATTTTTTGAGATGGAGTTTCATTCTGTTGCCCAGGCTGGAGTGTAGTGGCATGATCTCGGCTCATGGTAACCTCTGCCTCCCAGGTTCAAGTGATTCTCCTGCCTCAGCCTCTCTAGAGTAGCTAGAATTACAGGTACGTGCCATCATGTCTGGCTAATTTTTTCTTGTGTATGTTCATTAGAGGCAGCATTTCACCATGTTGGACAGGCTGGTAGATCTACAGCTTTTAAATCACAGAGATGCTTTTAGCTTTCATGTCTTTGTTTTTTTGTTTTGTTTTAAAGATAGAGTCTTACTCTGTCACCCAGGCTGCAGTGTAGTGGTGTGATCATGACTCACTGCAGCCTCAACCTCCTGGGCCCAAGCAATTCTCCCACATCAGCCTCCTGAGTAGCTGGGACTACAGTTGTGCACCATTATGCCAAGCTAATTTTTAAATTTTTTGTAGAGACAGGGTATACCTATGTTGCCCAGTCTGGTCTCGAACTCCTGAGCTCAAGCAATCCTCCCGCCTAGGCTCCCAAAGTGTTGGGATTACAGGCGTGAGCCACTGCACCCAGTGGAGAAACTTTCTTAAAAGCAACACCTTAGATTTTCACTTGAAAGTCACCCTACTTAAGGTGGAGAACAAATTAACAAAAAAGAAAACCTAGTTTTCTGAAATTTCTAGTCTCACCAAAAAGGAAAAACATTTAAAATAGTATAAGAATATAGATCTGGAATTTTTTTTTGAGATGGAGTTTCACTCTAGTTGCCCAGGCTGGAGTGCAATGGTGCCATCTCAGCTCACTGTAACCTCTGCCTCCTAGGTTAAAGCAATTCTCCTGCCTCAGCCTCCTGAGTAGCTGGCATTACAGGCATGTGCCACCATGCCCAGCTAATTTTGTATTTTTAGTAGATAGAGTTTCTCCGTGTTGGTCAGGCTGGTCTTGATCTCCGACCTCAGGTGATCTGCCCGCCTCAGCTTCCCAAAGTGCTGGGATTATAGGCATGAACCACCGTGCTCAGCCTGTAATGTGTTATTTTTACATAACATTCAAATATTAGATAAATCAAATTTCTTTTTTTAAAAATGAATTTGTTCATTCATTCATTCATTTATTTATTTGAGATGGAGTCTTGCTCTGTTGCCCAGGCTAGAGTGTAGTGGGATTGCAGGCACGCACCACCATGCCAAGCTAATTTTTGTATTTTTAGTAGAGGTGGGGTTTCACCATGTTGGTCAGGCTGGTCTTGGACTCCTTCTTTTTTTTTGTTTATTTTTTTTCCTTATTTTTTTTTCTTTTTCTTTTTGGTGCCTTCTCTGCACTAGCAAGTCTTGAACTCCTGACCTCAGGTGATCTGCCCCCCTTGGCCTCCCAAAGGGCTGGGATCACAGGCGTGAGCCACCGCACCTGGCCAGATAACTCAAATTTCATAAGTAAATTATATGCATATGATTTCCACTCTAGTGATTCTTATTGTGAAGAGATTTATTAGACTTTACAGTAGTAACTTGTTTACTTTTTTTTTTTTTTGAGACAGAGTCTCACTGTCATCCAGGCTGGAGTGCAATGGCACCATCTCGGCTCACTACAACCACTGCCTCCTGGGTTCAAGTGATTCTCCTGCCTCAGCCTCCAGAGTAGCTGGGACTATAGGTACCTGCCACCATGCCTGGCTAATTTTTGTATTTTTGGTAAAGATGGGGTTTCACCATGTTGGCCAGGCTGGTCTCTACTCCTCGCCTCAGGTGATCCACCTGCCTCAGCCTCCCAAAGTGCTGGGATTACAGGCATGAGCCACCACACCCAGCCCAACTTGTTTATCTTCTTACACACCTGTAGTGGGTTGAATTGTGTGAATGAAGCCCTAATCCAGAGTACCTCAGGATGTGAGCTTATTTATAGATAGGGCCTTTACAGGGATAATAATGTTAATATAAAGTGATAAGGGTGGTCTCCAATTCAATTTGACCTGTGTTCTTAGAAAAAGGGAAAATTTGGGGACAGACACAACAGAGTTAATTGTTAGGTAAACATGAAGATGGCCATCTACAGGCTAATGAAAAAGGCATGAAATAGATCCTATCCTCACAGCCCTCAGAAGGAACTTACTCTGCCAATACCTTGATTTCATTCATATTTCTAGCCTCAAGAACTGTGAGACGTTAAGTTTTTGTTGAAATTTTTGTGGTATTTGGTTAACAGCAACACAAGCAAACTAATACAATACCATAGAGCTAGACCTCATTCTGATCATTGAGAAGCTTACCAGTTAAAGTCCATGGCTGAAACAACTACGGAATCTTCTTTATTTTCTTTTCTTTTTTTTTTTTTAAGATAAGGGGCTGGCCAGATGCAGGGGCTCACACCTGTAATCCCAACATTTTGGGAGTACAAGGTAGGCAGATCACTTGAGTCCAGAAGATCAAGACCAGCCTGGGCAGCATGGCAAAACCCCATAGCAAAAAAAATAAAGGGTATGGCTATGCTGCTGAGGCTGGCATCAAAATCCTGGCCTCAAGTGATTCTCCTGCCTCAGCCTGCTGAGTAGCTGGGACTACAGGTACACACCACTATACTCAGTTAGGCATTTTTTAAAAAAAAATATTTGGTATTCTGGAGATGGTTTTTTTTTTCTTTCCTTTTTTTTTTTGAGATGGGGTCTCACTCTGTTGCCTAGGCTGGAGTGCAGTGGCACAACCTTGGCTCACTGCAGCCTCAAGCTCCCAGAATCAAGCAATCATTCTACCTTAGTCTCCTTAGTAGCTGGGACTATAGGCATGCACAATCATGCCTGGCTTTTTTTTTTTTTTTTGGAGAGGGAGTTTCACTGTAGTTGCCCAGGCTGGAGTGCAATGGCACAATCTCAGCTCACTGTAACCTCTACCTCCCGGGTTCAAGTGATTCTCCTGACTCTGCCTACCCAGGAGCTGGGATTACTCTTTATTATTTTTTCTTTTTTATTGCATTTTAGGTTTTGGGGTACATGTGAAGAACATGCAAGATAGTTGCATAGGTACACACATGGCAGTGTGATTTACTGCCTTCCTCCCCTTCACCTATATCTGGCATTTCTCCGCAACTCCCCACCCCCTGCTCTCCCTCCCCTATTCCCCCCAACAGACCCCAGTGTGTAGTGCTCCCCTCCCTGTGTCCATGTGTTCTCATTGTTCAACACCCGCCTATGAATGAGAACATGTGGTATTTCATTTTCTGTTCTTGTGTCAGTTTGCTGAGAATGATGTTCTCCAGGTTCATCCATGTCCCTACAAAGGACACAAATGCATCATTTTTTATTGCTGCATAATATTCCATGGTGTATATGTGCCACATTTTCCCTGTCCAGTCTATCATCGATGGGCATTTGGGTTGATTCCAGGTCTTTGCTATTGTAAACAGTGCTGCAATGAACATTCACATGCATGTGTCCTTATAGTAGAACGGTTTATAGTCCTTTGGATATATACCCAGTAATGGGACTGCTGGGTCAAATGGAATTTCTATTTCTAGGTCCTTGAGGAATTGCCACAATGGTTGAACTAATTTATACTCCCACCAGCAGTGTAAAAGTGTTCTTATTTCTCTACATCCTCTCCAGCATCTGTTGTCTCCAGATTTTTTAATGATTGCCATTCTAACTGGTGTGAGATGGTATCTCAATGTAGTTTTGATTTGCATTTCTCTAATGACCAGTGATGATGAGCATTTTTTCATGTTTGTTGGCCTCATGTATGTCTTCTTTTGTAAAGTGTCTGTTCATATCCTTTGCCCACTTTTGAATGGGCTTGTTTTTTTCTTGTAAATCTGTTTGAGTTCTTTGTAAATTCTGTATATCAGCCCTTTGTCAGATGGGTAAACTGCAAAAATTTTTTCCCATTCTGTTGGTTGCCGATTCAGTCTAATGACTGTTTCTTTTGCTGTGCAGAACCTTTGGAGTTTGATTAGGTCCCATTTGTCTATTTTGGCTTTTGTTGCCAATGCTTTTGGTGTTTTGGTCATGAAGTCCTTGCCTACTCCTATGTCCTGAATGGTTTTGCCTAGATTTTCATCTAGGGTTTTTATGGTGTTAGGTCTTCTGTTTAAGTCTTTAATCCATCTGGAGTTAATTTTAGTGTAAGGTATCAGGAAGGGGTCCAGTTTCTGCTTTCTGCACATAGCTAGCCATTTTTCCCAACACCATTTATTAAACAGGAAATCCTTTCCCCATTACTTGTTTTTGTCAGGTTTATCAAAGATTGTATGGTTGTAGATATGTTGTGTTGCCTCTGAGGCCTCTGTTCTGTTCCATTGGTCTATATCTCTGTTTTGGCATCAATACCATGATGTTTTGATTACTGTGGCCTTGTAGTATAGTTTGAAGTCCGGTAGTGTGATACCTCCCGCTGTGTTCTTTTTACTTAGAACTGACTTGGCTATGCGGGCTCTCTTTTGGTTCCATATGATGTTTAAGGTGGTTTTTTCCAGTTCTGTGAAGAAGGTCATTGGTAGCTTGATGGGGATAGCATTGAATCTGTAAATTACTTTGGGCAGTATGGCCATTTTCACAATATTGAT